ACATGAGTCGGTTAAGAACAATGCGTTCAAGCACTTTACAAACACACGATGTTAGAGATATGGGTCTATAATTATCTGAGTGTGGTTTGGGGATAGGAAAAATGACACTCATCGTCCAAGCATCAGGTAATACTCCTTCACTTAAACTCATTCTGAAGAACACTAAAAGTGGATTACCTGGTACTTGTGAGACTAATCTCAGTAAACTGAAAGTAATACCGTCCTCTCCAGGAGCAATTGATTTTCCCATCTTTAGTGCATGATTTAATTTCCATTCAGTTACATCATTAACGACTCACAAGTCGAGCCTGGCCTCGGGCCGGGCTTGGGGAGTAGAAGAACTCCCAGAACCCCATCAACCAGGTATCAACCAGGTATTAAGGTCCGATACGTCGATAGCTGTACAGGCAAGATTTTTTTTTTTTTTCTTTTTATTGTTAAAACAAAGTAAACAGCGTATATATAACCATATAAAACAGTAAAGCATATAATAACAAGGAACATAGAATGACAACAACACAAAACAAGGAACACAGAGCAACATAACATAAAATAGAAAACAAAGAACAAAAAAATACATAGGAAAGTACATTAAATACACACAAAAACATCTAGTCAAAACAGCACAAGCAGTGAACTATAAAGCACAAACAAACATGTGAACAACAGAAAAGAAACATAAAACAGAAAAACAAATAATCGTACAACAGGAAAAAAAAAAAGTACATAGGACGACACGGTACAAAATAAAACAAATCTAGTAACAAGCTAGCCTGAAGGGCTACACAAGCAATACGACAAGGCAAGACAGACAGGAAATCACAACCGGAACACGCAGGAACCGGCAATCACACACACACACACACACACACAGCCCTAAAAACAACACAAGTAACAGAACAAAACACACACACACAGCACATCACAACCAAAAAAGCGCACGCAGAGCACACACCCAAAAGCACACCGCCCAGCAGGGCGAAACCAAACACGGAGACAAACCAGACACAGAACCGCAGATACGGTAACAAATTAAACAGACAGAGTACACAAGTAGACACACGGCACTAACGATACTTGTCCGGAAACTCCTTGGCTGGGAAGCGCAAGCAGTACGCCTCCCAGACGAGCTGGACAAATTCAGGCACTGGCTTACCAGGAGACGCACAAGGCCGAGGCATCCAGTCAGGCACCCCATAAATAAACCCTTTCAACTTTGGTACCCAAATAGTCGACGAGCACCACGGGCCCTCACGCACCCTGTCGTCCCAAACGATGTCCAAAACCCGTGGCTCACGGACCACGCTCCCGTCGGCCGCGAGCACAGGGGAGGAGCCCACACTAGGTGGTTTCGCACTGGTATCGGCACTGGGAGGTTCTCTGGGCGCCGCACAGGGCTGCGTATCGACCGGCACACGAGGTTCCTCCCGAGGCCCCACATGGGTCTGCACACTAAGGGAACCCGCAGAGGACACAGACGAGTCGGGGCCCCCGCCACCGAGCATAGGAGCCGAAGCACCGTGGCGCACATCCTTCCGTAAAACCACGACGAGGTCCCGTTCAGCAGGAGCAACCTCCCACCGTGGGGAGTCACCAGCAGTAGGCACAGGTGGAGACTCCGGAGGCAGCACAGAGCCCCCCACAGCACCACCAACCTCGGCAGGAGACGCCGGATCAACGTACTCCTCCACCTCCACCCAAGGCACCCCACGAAGGGGAGACACACTCGGGACCCGCCTCGAGCGCTTGGAGACGGGCTGCCGGTCATCGGAGCTGTCACCCCCATCATCCTGTAACATAGCAGAACACTCCGATGGACGCGACTTCAAGGCCCGGCCCCTGAGAACCGCGGCCTCCACTACCGGGGGCACCGGACCACACACCGCAGGAGACTCCACGCTGCTAACATCCAAAGGGACAGGAGACGCCACATGTAGGGAAGGAGGCACGGGCAGCTGAGACAGATCGGGCTGGGGCGACAGGGGCAGGGATGCCGGAGGCGGGGAACCCGGTGGCGGGGGCGGGGCCACCGCAACCCCGACGTCAACATCCACACCACCATCCAACACCGGGGCAGAAACCAGCAGGGAATCAACACCCGGACCATCACGGGGAGACAGGTCCGGGGCCGACAGCGGGGGAAAATCCTCCTCCTGGAAAAGGTTAACCGGGGTGACCCGACGCTCCTCACACCCCGCGGCCAGGTGACCCGGGAGACCACACCGGAAACAAGTCCGAGGTTGTCCTGCGTGAAAAACACGAATCGGGAACCCCAACAGCATGATGGAGGACGGCACAGAACCGCGGAGGCGCATGGCGAGAGTGCGGGTCCCACACGGAACCCCCTTCCATCTCCCGGTAGGGACAGCATTCATCCTCACATGTAGAACCCGCCCAAACCGGGCAAAGTACCTATGTAGAAGATCCTCAGGGAACTCAAAGGGCATCCCATGCACAGCCACATACGTCGTGGCTCCACAACGGTCGGATAGGGTTACCGACCCACCATCCCCAGGAAGATCGAAAGAGCGCCCATCATAGCGCGTGACGATATCTTGATAAATCGCCGGAGAGTTGAACTTGACTATCGCCCGCCGGCCGGCGAGCAGCTGCACACCACATACAGACTCCACTTGGACACGTAACATATCAATCATTACCACCTCCACAGCGTGGTACGAAGCAATCCCAGAAAACTCCAGGCCAATGGAGGCCTGCCTGGAGACACGGGGCACAGGCTCCCCCCATGATCGCAGACCGTCACGGCCCCAAGGGCCCCTCAGCAATAACACGGCACACAAGCCACGTCAGCAGCGACACCAGGTCCTCACCCCTCGCCGGGTCAACAACAACTGCAGCGGCCGGACGGAAACAACCGTACCCCACGACAGCTGGAGCAGCTCTCCCCTACAGGCAAGATTGATGGTTCGATGTCTGTTTGGGCGTGTGTCATCAAGTTTGTGCTGTATGTTAATTGAGAGTGAGTCGTAGCATGATGTTAGTGCCCATTAATCAAGGAGGATGTTTGCTTGTTCTAGTGGGCTGTGGTGCAGTGGTTTGGTTGGGTTGCTTCAAGAGATTTTTTGTATCTTTCCCCAAACGTCAACAAGTGTTGTTTGCTCATTTATACTTTGCAGGAACTCTTCCCAATGTTTATTACATATAACATTGCTCATGTCTCTCACCTCTCTATTTGCGACCAGAAATGCATGAAAGTCACCTTGTGCTTTGGTTCGTTTGTATGTATCTCCAAGTTGCTTTACAAATACGGGCTCGAGGACCCACTTGGGTGGTGGTAGGTGTTGTTCACATCTGCTAGGCATACGGTCTGTTCCCCAACACACCCATGTGTCGTAGTAGGCAGTAATCGTATCAATGAGATCTCTGGAGAAGGCTTGTACATTCGTTATTGTGTAATCTTGATACCATTTTGAAATACAATTCATAAAATGGTTGTGCAAACCACATGGAATATTCATTTTCCGTCTCTGATGTTCATTAGGTACATCACACTGTTCCTCATAGGAAGCAGAAACTGTATAGTGGTCATTAACCAAGTGAGTTACCAACGAACATTCCATCCTATCTTGCACAAGGTTTCTACCCATTACATAATCAAGTCTGCCTCCCAATAAATGAGTTTGGGTATCCGTAGTATACACAGTTAATCTGTTGTCATAAACATATTTTATAAATTTGCATCCATTATCGTTGTTAGTAATGTCTCCCAGCGTAATATGTCTAGCATTAAAATCTCCCATGTATATTGTCCCATGATTGTCTAGATCTGGGAGCAATGTTACATTGAGTTTCTGACTTGTGGCATATACGTTGAGGAATGAGAAGTGGCCTGCTGCAGTTTGTAAATGAAGCTGATGGTACTGTGTTTGAACATTGTGTGACGTGCTCACAAGAGTTGCGGTAAATCATCTCTGATGTATGTTAATAGGCCTGTGGCATTACGGTTAGTATAGGATGCATACCCTCTGATCTTTAGTGGGGTTTTGTTTATCATATGAGGACCTGAGTATTGCTACTGACGTGGCTTGTGTCCCATGTTTCTGCTGAGGGGCCCCTGGGGCCGTGACGGTCTGCAATCATGGGGGGGCCTGTGGCCCCTGCCACCAGGCAGGCCTCCATTGGCCTGGAGTTCTCTGGGATTGCTTCGTACCACGCGGTGGAGGTGGTGTTGATTGATATGCTCCATGTCCCTACGGAGTCTGTGTGTGGGGTGCAGCTGCGTGCCGGACGGCGGGCGATTGTCAAGTTCGGCTCCCCGCTGATTTATCAAGATCTCATCACGTGCTATGATGGGCGCTCATTCACTCTTCCTGGAGATGGTGGGTCGGTGACTCTCTCTGACCGTTGTGGAGCCACGACGTATGTTGCAGTGCATGGGATGCCTTTTGAGTTCCCTGAGGATCTTCTTCGTCGGTACTTTGCCCGGTTTGGGCGGATCCTACATGTAAGGATGAATGCTGTCCCTACCAGGAGATGGAAGGGGGTCCTGTGTGGGACTCGCACACTCGCCATGCGCCTCAGGGATCCTGTACCGTACTCCATCATGCTGTTGGGGTTTGTGTTTTTCATGCGGGACAACCTCGGACATGTTTCAGGTGCGGCCTATCGAGTCACCTGGTCCCGGGGTGTGAGGAGCGCGGGGTCACCCCTGTTAACCTCTTCCGGGAGGAGGATTTTCCCCGGTCGTCGGCCCCGGACCTGTCTCCAAGTGCTGGACCATGTGATAATTCCTTGCGGGCTACTGCCCCGGTGTTGGGTGGTGATGCGGATGTTGACATGGGGTTTGGGGCGACCCCGCCGCCGGCTTCCCCGCTTCCAATGCCCCTGCTCCAGCTGCCCCAGCCCGCCCCGTCTCGGCTGCCCCTGCCTGCTCCGTCCCTGCATGTGGTATCTTCTGTTCCTTTGGATGTCCGCGGCGAGATCTCTCCTGCAGTATGTGGTCTGGTGCCTCCGACCGTAGAGGCTTCGGTTATCAGGGGCCGGGCTTTGAAGGAGTGTCTGTCGGAGAGTTCTGCTGTGTTACGGGATGATGAGGGTGACAGCTCGGACGACCGGCAGCCCGTCTCCAAGCGCTCGAGGCGGGTCCCAAATGCGTCTCCCCTTTGTGGTGTGCCTTGAGTGAAGGTGGGAAAGTACGTTGATCCGGCGTGTCCCTCTGAGGTTGGCGGTGCTGTGGGGGGCTCTGTGCTACCTCCTGAGTTGCCCCCTACGCCTACTGCTGTTGGCTCCCCACGGTGTGAGGTTGCTCCTGCCAAGCAGGACCTCGTCGTGGTCTTAAGGAAGGATGTGCGCCAGGGTGCCTCTGCTCCTATGCCCGGGGTCGGGGGCCCTGACGCGTCTGTGTCCTCTGTGGGTCCCCCCAGTGTGCATCCCCAAGAGAAGCCTCGTGAGAAGCCTCGTGCACAGGCCAGTACGAAGCCCTGTGTGGTGCCCGGTGTGGCGCCCGGAGTGGCACCCGGAGCGCCTTCCTGTGCGGATTCCAGTGCAAAACCCTCTAGTGTGGACCTCTTCCCTGTGATCGCGGCCGACTGGGACGTGGTCCCTCAGTCGCAGTGTTTGGACCTCACTTGGGACGACAGGGTGCGTCCGGTCCCGTGGTGCTCATCAACTATTTGGGTACCGTGGTTAAAGGGGTTTATATATGGAGTACGTAATTGGATGCCTCGGCCATGTGCGTCTCCGGGTAGACTGGTGTCCGAAGACGTCCAGCTGGTTTGGGAGGCATACTGCTTGCGCTTCCTGGCATAGAAGTTTCCGGACTAGTATCGATAGTGCCTGTGTTTGATTGTATACTCCCTGTCTGTGATTTTGTTACCGTGTCTGAGGTTCTATGTATGTTTTGTCTATGTGTTAGGTTTAGCCTTGTTAGGAGGTGTGCTTGTTTGTGTGTTCCGTTTGCATTTTTTGGTTGTGCTGTGCTGTTTGTGCCCTTTGTGTGCTTTGTGTTCTGTTGTTTGTGTGGTTTATATTGCTGTTGGGTGTGTGTGTGTGTGTGCGTATGTGTATGCCGGTTCCTGCGTGTTCTGGTGCTTGTTTTGTTTTGTTTTTCTTTTGCATGTGTGGGTGTCATTTCTATATGTTTTTTCCAGGTCCCTGCGTGTTCCGGTTATGAATTCCTGTCTGTTTTGACTTTTTGTCTTGCTTGTTTGGCCCTTCAGGCTGGCTTGTGTAACTAGTTGTTATTTTGTACCATAATATTTGTACCATAATATTTTGTACCATAATATTTGTGTTTTTTTATGTTTCCTGTTGAATACTTATTTTGTTTTTCAATTTTGTGTTTCCTTTCTCTGTTGATCTCATGTGTTGTTTTGTGCTTTATGGATCACTGCTTGTGCGGTTTTGTCAGGCTGTTTTTATGTGTATTTAATGTGCTTTATCAATAAAAAGTAGAAGAAAAAAACTATTTCTGTGCCATCCGGGATGCGAACTCGGAATCCTCGATTGTGAATCAAGAATGAACCCGACTGTACTACCAAGACCCTGTTAAAAAGACCTTACATGTAAGGTAAGGAAGGAGAACAACTCTTGAACTTGTCTACAAGCACTTTATCACCGAGTACATTTTCAAGCATTTTGTTAAAATGAGCAGAAGCTTTATCTAAAGGGTCTTTGTAAATAGGTAATAAGTCTTCCGATAGTTCATTAACTCTTCTATATTACTGACTCTTTTGTTGGTGATAACAATGGCATTAGATTTACTGACTTTGGAAATGTGTAGTGAATTATCTCTATTTAGGGTATTAAAAGATTGAATAAACCTTTCTGGACAATTAGAGCGACTTTGATACAGTAATGAACCATATACCATACCCTGCCATATGTTTATATCGCCATTAGACATATCACTGTGTTTTAAAAATAACAAAATTCTTTTGGAATATCTATGTAATTCACACCCCTGTCAGAAATAAAAAAACTCAAATAATATCCTAATGCAGTGACAGTGCTGTTGTAAAGGTGTTTATCAGGTAAATTAATGACTGAACTACGGCTAAAATGTTTGTTCCAATCGTATTGTTTAATGAGCCAATATATGCACAGTATAAATGGATATCTTGTGGTGGTGTATAAATGAAATGGTGTGCTCGCTTGAACACCATTAATGATGTGCATTAATGCTTGCCAGTGTAACAAACTAGGCTGTTGTAAGAATTATCCAGAGTGGTTTATCGACAAAAGAGAATGGGAAGCTGAGCCGCATGGTGACCTGACCCCCAGGGGAATTCGCGGTGGAAATAGCCGACGCTTTGTTCATAACTACGTATAATGAATCATCCTATAGTATTCAGTA